CTACAAAATGTAAAACTTAACCCTGCCTGGCATTCTCGTAAGGTTAAGGACCTTTCCGACGGCAGCTGCTTGGGAAGTGCAAAATGGAAACGGGAAAAACTGCAGAAATGAGGCAACTTTGCAGCAAAACCCATTCTTTTCAAAAGAATTTCTGATGGAACGCATGCACTGCGATTTCCCTGTACACTTTATTTTCATATTTAAATAGAAAATTTTACTCGTAATTACGCCGTGAACGATTTGCGAACTATGTCAAATAATACGCCAACAAGTCGCAGCGTCATTGTGACCATAAGAGGCGTGGCTAGGAATGAACCACAATCCCCTAGCGTCCTTGCCTCTCATTTTCGAGTAACGAGCGTGGTACACCCCATGCGATTGCATACCTCATAAACCGTAGAGGATTCTGCCTCTCAGATAGTCCCAAGTACACCTTTAACAAACTGATGTTATTGGGGAAAAAGCTCACCTTAGCGTTAGCTGAACTTGTACCAGATGTGGAACCAGCTAGGGCGTATGGATTGAATCCAAGTAACGATTGTTGAAGCAATGTTTGCTGCATCAGCATCTGCATTTGGAGCGCTTCCAGTTGTTGTTTAGTAGCGGCTTCGGCAGCCAGAGCAGCGCTTGCAGCGCTCGACGATCCAGCAGACATTGCAGCACCTCAAAATTGATTATTATTATCTGTTAACAGAATTAATCCCTCGATCTCATTAGCGGTTTATTCCCCATTTGTGACTGATGTACAGTTACTCATTATCCCTGCACGCGAAAAAGCACGTGGGTTGGAGCTCAGCCAAACGGCTTTTCCCACCGCGCGACCGTTCTAAGTCAGCAGCAAATGGCGGAAGAAGCTGTCCTGACTTAGTTCCAAGCAACGTCCCTTGACATGCCCTATCGTTTGTTAGGGGGAAAGATTGTAGAGCACAACAGGTGTGGTACAGGCTTCACTATCGAACTAGAGCTCATTTAGGAGGCTACAGTTGCGCTGGTTCCTGAGATACGGGCCCAAAGAGGGGCTGTTTTTAGTGAGTTTGCGCTAAGGTCCCCAAGGTCAGTAAGATCTCAAACTTGAAATCACCTCCGAAAACACTGCTACTGCTGGCTGCTTTGTCGGACGATTTTGCTGCTGCTGACGAAGCCGCTCCAGCGGCACTTGCAATGGCAACAGGATCACCACCAAGCCGTTCAGGATGTGACATTCCAACTACCAACTGAAACGAATTCTATAACTATACCGAATAACCATAAAAAAACAGGCGCTTTTCGGCTTGGTAGGGGCACTTTGCACTTTCGCTAATTCCTACTTTAGTTTATGCTAACTAACTGGTCCTACTTTAGTGAGACCTGTAAACTCTTGTGGTCTGAAACATTAGAAGTGAGTCACTCTAGCAACAGGAATTCACAGGTCCTCACGAGGTGGCCTGTACGAACCTCGCTGGGCAGATTACGGTGCCCCTACCAAGCCGAAATGCGCCATGGATATTATTTACTGACCTGAGCCGAGCCACAGGGATACACTGTACTGCTAATGGAACATTTGCTTCAGGCGGTGCCGCATCAAGCCACGATGGCCAATTTGCTCAAAGTTGGCCATTTCGAGGCAGGGAGTAAAGCTCCTGTCAACCTGAAATGGACGAGATACTTCCCTGAACAAAAAAAAGATGAGTATAAATATACCTACCTACTAAACACCGACACCGGGCCATCTCCAGCACTTGTTGTGGCAGAAACCCCCGCATTTGATGCTTTTTTAGGGATCTCACCAGCTTCGAGACGTGCGACTGGTTTCCGGACTTAAGGGGTTGTGCACGGTGTGGGTGGTGCCGCCACTTCACTGGCTTTGGAGCTAGGTGCAGGAGTGGTAGCTGCGCTAAGTGGTTTCGGAGTGGATGGCTTCGGAGTAGGAGGAGCTGATGGTTTTGCGCTCGATGGGGCGGAATCACCCGCTGCCTCGCGAGTGGACCAACTGGAGATTGGCGAACGGATGTGTGGTTCCTTCCTCTGTAAGATATTTTAATTTTTTTCTACTGCTGCACCAGAGAACCTTATCAGCGAAACCCTTCAGGGCAAATGTTGAACTCTACCTAAACTGGCGAGATCTAGAGTGTGGTGAGGATGCGATGTTAACCATACACTGAGGTTTTTCAGCTTTGGTGCCGATTCACCCAACAGCCGTTCCTTAGTCTGAAGATTTTGGACCGGGATCCTCGTATCTGAAAGACAACAGGATAAAGAGCTGTAAAAATCCTGAATCGATAACAGTAAAAAATCCTGGAAACAAAATGTTTTCCCAAAATCGGGATAAAGAGGTAACATACCAGGTGGTAGGCTGGCTAGAATGATGAGTGTCATCAGCCCAGCTGAGCCCATCGCGACAGATCTGCTGCTGCTGCTGGGAATTTGATGGTCCAGGGGCGGAAGATGTCGAAGGAGCTGGGGAAGCAGTTGTGACCACAGCTGGTTCAGCCTTAAACGTCTATGTTATACAGTGCAATATAGTGGCAATGAGTGAACTGAACCTGCTTCTCCTCTCTAATAAATTCACTTGATCATGCAAATAATTCTCTCTATTGCACGCTCCAAGACACATTCCGCGATAATTGGATGGGCGGCGATTCGTAACCCTTGTGTCTCTCCCCGCAAACGATGAAATCGCTAGCCATCAGGTACGTCCTGCCGTTGGAGAAACACTTTGCCAAAGGACGAAGCCCAATAGAATTAATCGCCCGGTTACGCATCTGCCCACCCCACCCCACCCATTGCTATTCGAGCCTGCCCATTTCCATAATTATTTCACAACTAGTGAAATCGTGAGCAATCGCAGAGAATCATTTTTCTCAAAAGCCAAATAGACGCTATCCTGCCTTCCTTCCAGCTACCAAACAGGACCCCTTCAATGGGACCCCCAACATACGACGTGCCCGTGGGATCCATGCCAATCATCCCGAGAGATGCAATTTGTAACTGCAACATAGAAAAGAATGCAGGGGGTTTTCCTAGAGCAGCCAATAATTTTGCCTTTACTACTTAACTTCTTAGGTTTAGCATTCACGTAAACATCAGCGTGTCCATAGTGTCAGAGAACCTGAGGGCCAGCTGCATTTTGCCTAGAGGGCTGGCGGCAGCATGAGATGAAAGCCGCGCAGCCCGACTTCTGCATTGTTGAACGAGCCACCTGCTCCAGACGAACTAGCTGTGGTACCAGTTGCTCCTGCTCAAATCGTGTTTTTTCAGTCTGTACAAAACCGGGACTCCCAGATTACCCAGAGGGGAAAAACTTTTCAGTAGCACAACTATTCAACTAAAACTCACCAGCCATGGCAAACAATGATCCAAGAAGCTGTGCAGCAGCAGCGTTGTTGCCCATGAGTTGCGGCATGAACATTGCAGATTGCAGCATGGCCGCAGCAAGAGGCAGATCTCCCATTTGGGATAACATCGATTGCTGCATCAATGCACGCATCTTCTGCGCATCTGTGTCCACTGCTCGCTTACGACCTCGTCGGACCTAAAGAAATCCGTGCAAAATGACAAGTTTGCACCAAAAAAATAAAATCAGTCGGGAAAAATTTTTGAATTATAAATTAAGGACAGCAGGCGAGAGATAGTACCCAAACTGTGCGTCAAATAGAGTGCCCACAAGTGCCGAGTACACACTGTATCACTCGGTTGTCACCTAGTTGTCACCTAAACAGCGTCCTGTCTGCAGGTGAAAGCGGATCTTGCGCGCATAACACAAGTTGATGAACCTGAGCAACTAAACCAGCTTACGGTATGCCCAATTGTGTGCATTTACGTAGCCGACACATCAATTTCCGTGCAGCTTTCGGGGATACTGTATTCGGACAGCTTCCCTACGCTCATAACCTTGTGGATAACTTAACCACCTGTTGTTGTGCACGAACCCGCTCTTCTGCGTCGCTATCATCCACGCTATCAGTGCTTGCTGTTCCATTCCATTTACCGGTTTCTACAGTAGTGCACACCTCGATTACCCTTCGCAGCAACGTTTTCTCCGTAGGTCGAATAATCTGAAAAACAGAATCCTCCTGGTTTAAAAAATGCGGGGCAAAAAAATTAACCGCTTACCTTCTGGAACGCCGGTTTCTTCAGGATATTTGCCGAGATGTTATCGATACCATGCTGATCACAAACAGATATGAGCTCTTTGTCATGTTGAGTAGTCCATCCTGATGGCATTGCTTCGGCAGAACACAACTTCAACATCGGAGTCACTTTGTCAAGACCAGCAGCTAATGCGTGAACCTTGAAAGGGTTTAATTACGAATTAAAAGCGGTTGCTCAAGTCGCGGCCAAAATTCCATTGTCTTTGAGTGCAAAAGTTGTTCGGAAGACATTCACTAACCTTTCTCGTCAGATGCAACCGATTCATCAACTTCTGGGCCTTTCGGGAAGTCATCGCATCAACTGAGAGGGCCCGCTTCGTATCGAGAGCCGACAGTTCGCCTCCTTGCGCCTATAAAAACGGCTTTCGAATGAAAAATGAATGATGCGACAATGTTGACAACATTGAACAATGTGGAAGGAAATATGAGACCTAATTAGGAATGCCGAGCTCATGCAGCCAAGCATCACACCATTACCCATAACAGAAAGTAGGCAACTCTGCTGTGAGATACAGAATATTGGAAAAAGCTGACCGAATGCTAAGAAACCTATGCACCTAGCGGTTTTTCTTACAGATACTCCAGAATCTAAGAGAATCGGGTTTTC